CCTTTATTAAAATATTCAATTCTAACAGAAGGTTTTTGCAGAATGTTTATCGATCAAACAGTATGGCGTGTTAAAATATTAAGAAACTTTTTTTATTATGTGTTCAACATTATTAGTTATAAGTTATAACTGTATTCTTAGAATAGTCTCTTCCACCCCCTCATGTCAACACGTTAGATTAGGTCACTTATAGACGATACAGAAATCGTGAAAGTATACCTAACCTACCTATATTATGATACCAATAGTACCTTTTACCTGTACGCAGTGGTCAGTTAGCAATGTTTTTATTTTATTATTATTTTCAGACAAAGATGTACTGACACTAACCATGACTGTGGTTAATGTGGCGCCACTGAAAACGCCACTGGCTATGTTGGATCAATTTCATATCGAAGACAAAAAAAAAAAAGAATGAAAAAAATACAATATTATACAATGAACGTAACGCCGACATGTGAAATTGCGGCGACTTGAAACACCGAAGAAAACATAAAGACTGGAGCCATTGATATTGTATATATATATATAGGTTACTTTAGTATATAAATTGGATCTCCAGAATTTTGTATTCAACCAACAAGTTCATTTGGTCATTCCCAAAGGCATCAACACAATCAAAGACGTAACAAATCCGTGAGAACATGGAACATTGATTGTTAATTAAAAGTACATTTACCCGGTAAAAATATCGATGTAACCACATACCTATAGTGTTTTTGTGCTCAGTTGTAATCTCATTAAAAGTAAAATAATAATATATAATAACCTTAATATGGGATGAAGTTATTCATTTTCAAACAAAATACGTTGATTATACTTTTTGCTTAAAGCTAAGATTATTATGTGTAAAACAAATTAATCGGCCGATATCAACGTAGTAATAATATTAGTGTGAATTATCACAAAAATATATTACTAAGTTCAGCGTCTCAGATTATTCATAAATTATATTTCACTTAAGATTTGAAATATAACAGAAAAACATGCGAAGTATGAATTTTTAGTCTGAGTATTCAAGAACATGCAAAAATATGCAAAATAGAAATTATATTATTTATTTTAAAACTATGCAAATTATGAAAATTAAATATATTTTCCAAAACTGTGTTTGGATAATTTAGTGAACTAAAAATAAATATATATTAATATTTCGATTCATCTTATAATATAATTTAGTCTCCCTTATTATTCTACTGAAAAATTACCTACATTTTAAACTATCTCTGTCTTTATATTTATAGAAATGAAAAAAATAATATCATATACAAATATGATGGGTGAACTTTAATATTTATAATACTTTATGATAGGTACCAATATAGTTTTAATTATATCATTATGGTAGTATAATAACGTATAGCTTTAAGACACTTCATTGATCGAGCATTTTAATAGCAAGTATAAAACACATTACTTAAATGCACTTACAGAATAAATGTTCAAAAAATTAACGTCGGTAGTGATTGGTAACGATGTTTGAATTCGTCCATGTTATAAATGATAAGGATGATGTATTATTTATGTGAATAAATAAAAGTTGAGTATAAAAAACTAGTTATATTGACTGTTAAATTAATTATAATACATGATTAAAAATGCAATCATTGTCTATGATTAATTTTGTTTAGTTTTACTTTTATTAATTATAAATTTTATTTTTTATTGATGTTATTTGACATTGACCTTATAGTATTCTATTGACAAATTAATTTAGCGTATATTTATTGAAAACTTTATACTTTGTAAATATAATCGTTATAGACTTTAGACATTGGTTCATTATAATTTTCTTATCTTAACATTGATGAATGGTGGTACAAAAAAAAAAATAAAAAAAAAAAAAATAAGGCAAACAGAAAATGGGTAATTCCGATAAACATACTATTTTGATAGTTAAAAAATTAATAAAAGAAAACAAGACTTTATATTTTATTATAAATTACTGGTTTTATTTAACGTCGGTACTCCGGCCCATTAAAACAATATTAGATGGACGAAATACTGTTTTAAATTGGTAAGTACCTACCTATAAAATAAAAGTAATAATATTCGTATTATATCAACTAATGTTTCTATTTTACGTATTTAGTATTTACCATTGTAAAAAAGTAAGCGAATAATTAAATTTACAGTGATTTAAAATATGTCATTTATTTACAGTAAAATGAATACCAAAAATTTTCTAACTGTTTTTTATTGTTCAATTTTTGTGTCAATTTATAAATTTCGTAATTTTCGTTAAATATTCAAGATTTTAAAGAATTAAAATAATATGATGATTAAAAGTGTAATAATTTATTATTATATCCAGTATAGCCGTTATACAATATAGACCTATCTGTTTTGAGATTTTTAATTAATTAAAAATTATAAATTTTACAATATTTAAATTTAAAATAATATACTATATGATGCATTTTTGTTTTTGATAAACGTTTGTACATTGTACGACAAACTAAATTACAACACACCATATCACTGTTAGTTTAATTACGAGTAATTTATTAATTTATTATTTTGAAACAGGATGGGCCCAATACAAATTTAGTTTTTAATCTTTAAGCTTAAGAGGGCGTCACAGTAAAAGTGAAACGTATACAACGCTCAAGAGATGGCGTTGAATTTCATATCGCCGCCGTCGCGGTAGGCCGTTACCACGCCTATCGTGTACGCGACGGGGTCCGCGTGTTGTTATTGCGAGAGAGGTACATTATTATTTCACAGACTGTCGTTTAGAACGTTTCGCGTCAAACGTCATTACAGGCCGTTACGTAAATTGTCGCCCGTGAATTCTATACGGTGCGCTGACTCGCTACTGGCTAGCAAGTCGCAAACCTATTTTTTAATTAAAGCTCCTGTTTGCTTAAAAATATTAACCAATAAATTAAGCATACAAATTATTATACACCAGAACTCGATTTATATTTCTAACCCAATTACTTTTTAAAATACATATAAAATAATAATTTCATTACGATTAAATAGATTTTTTAGTAAAAGTGTTACGTATTTTACGTTGTAACTTATAAATGACATGAAGCAATTTTTGTTCGATAATTTAATTTTTTATTTATTAATAACATTTTAAATAGTTCTGATTAGTAAATATTGATGTATTTACTTATTTTAATTTTAAACATAATACCTACATAAAATATGAAGTTAATTGTTGTACATAATATTTATTAAATAAATACCTACTGTAATAATATAATTATTTATATTATTGCAATTGCAGTACCTATATGTAAAAAAAACAATATGTATAAACTAAACATTTTTATTGTTCATATAATATATATAAATTAAAATTAAATTATATAGGTACTTACAAATGTACAGAACACATTTATTTACACATAATAATTAATTAAAACACAACATTTGGATTAATGACAATTTATAATAATTGATAACTTAAATTAATGCTAGCGGTTATATAGATAATGAATAACTGACTTACTATAATATTATATTACACCTATACTTTAATTTTAAAAATGTCATAATATGTACGTGAAATTATCTATATAAAATTTGCATAGTTATGTGTACAATAATAAAATGTAATATAATACATAACATTATACAATTAACATTTTATGTATTTATTTTGCGTTGTAAAAAAAAAATCATCTGCAACAATATTTATAGTTCCATATAAAATTAATTTTTATAGAAACTAAATAATTTAATATATTAATAAATACTTATGATACAAATATTTTTAAATAAAAATGGGTACAAATATTTTTTAATTTTTTAATTTTGACGGTTTTAAACCATTTCAAACGGAAGATTTGGATAAATATTGGTTTTATTATTATAACGCCGAACATTTTTTCTTTCCAAAGAGTCATCATCAAACTCTTAATTTTTATTGTATTTTTGTTTATGAGACTGGAGTATTAAGTTATGGGTAATGCTAGAAAAAAATCCTGCTAAAAGCTTTGTACTCCACCCAAAGGTTTGATATAAAAAAGTTATATTAATACCTGTGTCAACAATAGTTAATACTAATTTTGCAACAAAGAATATTCCCATTAGCCCAGATACAAAAGTTCCAATTGTCATAAACCAACCCCATATTTTAAATAACTTATCTTCTACCATTTTTCCAAGCGTGTTTTCATCTATCAAATATTTGAATTGCAGACCTTGGTTAGTGGTATCATATCCCATAGATTGTCTGATTATATTATTCGTAGCAGCTTTCACTTCTTGCGGAAACAATATATGCTGTTGGAAAGCTTTCATTGTATCCTGCGTATATTTACCGGCATTCATAAGAAATTCCGGACTTTTATACGACCATGTCCAGGACATGGCCAGTTTAAGCCTTTGTGGTTTTTTAATTTCTTGAATATTTGGCAGAACGGCAAACCATTCACCGCCCAATTCGAACGCAGGTGGTAAAAACACATTGCAGTCCACCTGTGTTCCAAATTACTGTAAAATATGGGTTTTGGGCGCCATAAATAATGTTTTGTTGTTATATAATACTGGCAGTTCATTAAAACAATTTCTTTTTTGTGAAATTTCTACGTTGAATTTTTTACATTTTATTAAGTAGATAATTTCACTGACTTTTATTGCGGTAAACCCTGGTCCACCACCTATTAAATATGCCAATTCTGAAAGACTAGAAGATGCTAATGTGAGTCGTTGCTCAAGTAATTTTCTGTCTAGCTCACATTGTTTAAGTAGAATATCGTTATACAACGATGTAATAGTTGATTTGAAGAAATTTTTGACATAAACAAATTTTGTGTTTATGTAAGCTAATAAATTAGTATTTTGAGCAATTATGGTTTTTCGTGTGAAATAATTAAAAAATGTAGGTTCTGTTAAAATTAATAACTGCATATGTTCAGTTCTGAATAACTGGGATTCCTGTGCAAGCGAACGTTTTTTTGACTTTTTTAAAACAAAGACTATTTTGTCAGTCTCCACAATATAAGTATATGTATTTAAACTTTCATCAATAATATTTGACGTAATTAATGACGCTGGTCCATTATATAGGACACTGATATCGTGTTCTTCACAGTTTATGTTATTGTTTGACCAGATAGTTTCACCTTTAAAAGCATCAATGCCGTAATTGTCTGATAACTTAAGTTTTGTACCTGTTGGAAGTATATCCACTATTCGTCTTCCCGAACTTTCATTTACATCGCATGGTCTGTTATAACATTTTAATAATAATATTTAATTTTTAAAACTGTTATAACCAATATTCGAAACGGATGAAATACGCTGGTTTTTCAAAAATAATAACAAATTCGCGAATTAGTAGACTCATATATTCAATCAAATTTTAAATTAAAAATCATACTTGGATTCTTGATTACTACATATAAATTCATCAAATGTCAAGTTATGTAAAACTTTTTCAGTACCCCAATCATTAGTTTCATTATCCCTCAAATCCACCATTTTGCTAAAAAAATTTAATAAAACATATGTATTATAAATAAAAAATAATTATAGTTTTAGTTTTCATACAATAAAACTTAGATGGCTACAAATAATTAAAATTTACCTAATTGTTTCCCTCGATGAGCATGGTGGTTGATTGCCAGCACCTAAGGAAAAAGATTCCACAACAGGTTCTACGACATCTGGGTTGGAACTTTGTTCACACGAATTTAGTCAAATTAATAACCATATTTGATAATAATATAATAAATAGTTATACTTAGTTTTGGCACGAATTCCTAGAATATTCATCACTCGAGAACTCAGCGATTTTTTAACTGATAATTTTTTTGATGGGAAGCGATGAGTTGTTTTTTTAGGTTGATCCATTTTCACGTTAAAAAAATTTAAAAAAATATAAAACCATAATAAAATTCCAGTGAAAATCTAAGTTATTACTGATGTTAACAGTTAGACAAAATGACAATATTTGATATTTACTGTCATAATTTATAATCAATAATTGAATAATTAAATAATTATTATTTAGATACTCACCCTCTTTCATGTTACCGACGGGCGACGACGTGAATACGATAAGTGTTGATAACAAATAAAAATATAAAATTTATACCGATCAAGCGAATGATTGACCTTTGCCATATAATAGACTATATGGATTATTTATCATATCATACATTTATTCAAATCGTATTGCAAAAAAAACTCATGATTAGGATACTATATACATCTAGCTATCTATGAATGAGTATAGGACATAGATAGTTTAGACTAAAAGACGCGAGTATATCTTCGAATAATACATAAATTAATAAATTACATGATACGTAATATTGGTAAAATATATTTGTAAATAATATATAAATTATTGTTTTATGTATTAGGCATTAGCAAATTGTGTTTGATAGAAAATAACAAAATTTCTGTGTATTATCATAAAATAGAAAATACGTAAAAATAAAGAAAATGTGCAAATTATTTTGTTAGAAATTCATAACAATTTTTCTTTTTAAATCTAAAATCTAAAATTTAAAAATTTAGTACAAGATTCTTCATAAATTTGTCTAGTTTTATGAAAAAAATATCTACCGGAAATACAAATTTAATTTTTATGAGCGTTTGAAATTCAGATTTTTACAACATTGGATATTCACTCTATTTATCATTTAGCGATTTTCTTATGTTGTAATTAAAAAAACGAATAACTGTAGATACTTTTAATAATTTATACTATATATCTATTGTATCAATTCCTATACTTGATACTATTTTCAAAAAATTTTCACTTTTTCTGAGCTGTTTACGAACATTTTCAATTTTTTTTCTATAGTTGTTGATAAATTAGTAATTATAAATTTGTTGGGTCAAGAAGCGCGAAAATTTAATTCAAGG